TTTGACCGATATTGTCCGAAATTAAATAAAGATAAATCGTGTACTGCAAGACTACCAGAGCTGGAGCTGTCTGGAGAACACTTTGAAGCAGGAAACGCATGCTTGAACTGCTGCAAGCTCTGACAGAGGCAAAGAGGAGATGGAACTAATATACTCAGAGGTAAGAGGAGTAACGTGACCACAACTTATCAGCTTCTCATGTCAAAGGGGAACTCTGACCTTTCCAGATGGGGGTCAAACAAACAGCAAACATTTATTCAAAAATTATTCACAGATGCAGTAAATATTAGCAGACTGGTGCCGGTGTGATTACACCTTAATACACATAGTAGAGGGGTTTGGTTTAAGCAACCCGTTTACGATTAACAAAGAATCGGGTAGAAAAGAGTGGTATCTACAGAAACCCACTGCAATAGAAAAGCTAAGAAAAGGACTGCTCACACTGACAAATGATCTAGTGTCAACACAGCGCAAAACAGACTTGCAACACAAAGCTGCTTAATGTACAGTACAGTGACCACACAAACGCCAGTCACAGTACACTGCCTATACACCACTTTACTGTTTAACTCATGTTTGTTTCAGAGTAGTGAGCACAGTGTGAACTTAATTTTTGGCTCTGCTATATTTGGATGTTTGTGTGTAAAGCCTTTCTTTGTCTCTGTCTGAGAAGGAGGTATTATGAGAATGAAGCACAGTTTAACCATTTGCCCAACAATGAGGGAACATATTTGTTGGGTGAAATACACATAGGGTTGCAGCAGTATCGCAGTTTGACGGTATACCATGGTATGAAAATTGATGGTTATATCATGCACATTTGCTTATTAATAGTATTGAAGGAAAAAAATGCTACGCATGTGCACTTTTCTTTAAAAAAAAAAAAAATTAAAATCAGAAGCTTAGGATTACTTACCAAAAACAAACACCTTTGAGAACAACGCCCTCCCTCCATGCAGATCAAAGTATGTCCCGTTTATAACTGATTAAGCGTCGGTCATAAAATGCGCTTTTAAGATCATTTTCCACATTGTCTGTTCGTTCGCTAATCTCTGACTTACAAAAGGGCTCACATCGATCCCGATCTTGACCCCAGAAATGCCCACACAAACTTTGCCAGCTCTTATGAGTGTGTGTGTGTGTGTGTGTGTGTGTGTGCACGCACATGCGTGAAGGTACAGACAGGACCAGTCTGGCTGCACTATCATGCACCTACAGTAAATTATCAACTATTCTGATAATCGTTTAGAGCAGTGTGACAGCATTTCCAACTACTGTTTTACAAAGCAGCAAATTGATTAAAGGAGAAAATAATCATAAGATTGATGCCTAATGAAGACAATCAGTAGCTGCATTTGGATACAAAATAGTTCAGCAGAGCTCCACCTCAACCGGCTACAACAGTTAGGTCCTGCTGTTACATCAGTGCATGAGTGATATACAGTGGTGTGAAAAAGTGTTTGCCCCCTTACTGATTTCTTATCTTTTTGCATGTTTGTCACACTGTAATGTTTCAGATCGTCAAACAAATTTATATATTAGTCAAAGATAACACAAGTAAACACATCATGCAGTTTTTAAATGAAGGTTTTTATTATTAAGGGAAAACAAAATCCAAAACTATAGATCCCTGTGTGAACAAGTGTTTGCCCCCCTGTCAAAACACTGGTTTATCGCACCTGAGTTCAATTTCTCTTGCCACACCTGTTCGCAATCAAGAAATCACTTAAATAGGACCTGCCTGACAAAGTGAAGTAGACCAAAAGATCCTCAAAAGCTAGACATCATGCCGAGATCCAAAGAAATTCAAAAACAAATGAGAAAGAGAATAATGGAGCTCTATCAGTCCGGAAAAGGTTATAAAGCCATTTCTAAAGCTTGGGGACTGCAGCGAACCACAGTGAGAGCCATTATCCACAAATGGCGAAAACATGGAACAGTGGAGAACCTTCCCAGGAGTGGCCAGCCGACCAAAATTACCCCAAGAGCGCAGCGACAACTCATCCAAGAGGTCACAAAAGACCCCACAACAACATCCAAAGAACTGCAGGCCTCACTTGCCTCAGTTAAGCTGAGTGTTCATGACTCCACCATAAGAAAGAGACTGGGCAAAAATGGTTTGCATGGCAGAGTTCCAAGACGAAAACCACTGCTGAGCAAAAAGAACATAAAGGCTCGTCTCAGTTTTGCCAGAAAACATCTTGATGATCCCCAAGACTTTTGGGATAATACTCTGTGGACAGACGAGACAAAAGTTGAACTTTTTGGAAGGTGTGTGTCCCATTATGTGTGGCGTAAAAGTAACACCGCATTTCAGAAAAAGAACATCATACCAACAGTAAAATATGGTGGTGGTAGTGGGATGGTCTGGGGCTGTTTTGCTGCTTCAGGCCCTGGAAGACATGCTGTGATAAGTGGAACCATGAATTCTGCTGTGTACCAAAATATCCTGAAGGAGAATGTCCGGCCATCCGTTTGTGACCTCAAGCTGAAGCGAACTTGGGTTCTGCAGCAGGACAATGATCCAAAGCACACCAGCAAGTCCACTTCTGAATGGCTGAAGAAAAACAAAATGAAGACTTTGGAGTGGCCTAGTCAAAGTCCTGACCTGAATCCAATTGAGATGCTGTGGCATGACCTTAAAAAGGCAGTTCATGCCCGAAAACCCTCCAATGTGGCTGACTTACAACAATTCTGCAAAGATGAGTGGGCCAAAATTCCTCCACAGCGCTGTAAAAGACTCATGGCAAGTTATCGAAAACGCTTGATTGCAGTTGTTGCTGCTAAGGGTGGCCCAACCAGTTATTAGGTTTAGGGGGCAAACACTTGTTCACACAGGGCTATATAGTTTTGGATTTTGTTTTCCCTTAATAATAAAAACCTTCATTTAAAAACTGCATGATGTGTTTACTTGTGTTATCTTTGACTAATATATAAATTTGTTTGACGATCTGAAACATTACAGTGTGACAAACATGCAAAAAGATAAGAAATCAGTAAGGGGGCAAACACTTTTTCACACCACTGTAAACTGTTAATGTAATAGTATATGCTACCAAATATTAAGTTGAGGGTGTCAATAATTCTGTCCAGTCCATTTTTGGAGTTCAGTGTGGAATGGGTCACATTTGGCTTTTTTGTGTTGCTCCAATGCAAACAAAAAAAATTCACATGAGAATACCAAAGAATGTATTATTGTGTTCCTAATACGAGGTGTGGGCTGGGTCCGGATTGACTTACTGCTCCATCCACATCTGGACCGGGGTCCAGAGTTTGAGAAGCCCTGCCGCATTAATACCATCAAACTGTGACATTTTCGGAGACTGTTCTCATCATACTGTGAAAATCTCATGCCGCTGCAACCCTACATATAGATATAGGGAAGGTGGTGGAATTCTGAAATTCTACTTAATTTTTTTCTTGTATAATGCTTCAGCAAACAATGTCACTGATACAAAAAGCACACTACACAGAGTTCAACAGCTGACCGATTCTCTCCACCCACTCCACACTCACACAGTCTTTGTGCTGATAACATATTGATAATTCATCACCCATGTATTTCTTTCTTTAGTTCAGTTAGGTGTTTCTCTCTCTCTCGCTCTCTCTCTCTCTCGTCATGTGACTCAGCAAAACACCATCTCTTTCTATTTGCCTCCATCTCTCTTGCATTCCTTTCCTCTCCTCCAACTTGTTCCTGTCCAAGTCACCCGTCTGGTCACTACACGCAACCTGGGTACATGCATAAATGCATGTGGATAAGAGATACAAAGACACTTCCTGTACTGCACTTGACAGTGTGTAGGCCCAAGCTAAGAATAAATGTCCTGCTTGCCTCTGTTTTTACATTTCTAGTCAGATGTGTGCAATAATCTTTGATTACTCTGGCTGCGTGACTGAACGTGCAAGTGAAAAGCAAGACTGTGTGAGAAGAGTGTGAGCATGACATGCATGTCTGTGTAGGAAAACAGAACAAACACTATAAACTAAGACCAGTACACCTGTTGCTGTTTGTGTAGGTGTGTGTCTGTGTATAAAACTAGAGAACAGCATCAGTGGCGTCGCCCTGTCAGGTTAAACTATATCTGAGTGAGCTTGCCAATCCAGTTCTTTTCAGAAAGAGCCACATAGAAAATTTGTTTTGCTACAGACCTGACAAAGGCAGCAGCCTGGTGGAAACAGGTAGAAAACTCACTGATTTAATGTTTTTCTTGCCAACTGAATTCTTTCAGCAGCAGTACAGAGCCATTCTAAAAACTAATTTCTGGGAAAACTTGGGACAGTTTACAAAAACATCAGACACACACACAGAAAAATCAGTTCCCTTTCTGTTAATGCAAGACATGAACCCTTCTGATTATGAAGCTAATTTGCCTTGCTGACTTGGTGCAGTTTTAATTTGTTCATCTGTGATCTGCAAAAGGGCATTATCTCACTCAGAGGACCTACTGCTAATCTGAAGGAACGATTTTTCAGTGCAGCTTTCACAGAATGTTCTACAGTTGATCCAGTTGGCTGTGTTAATTAAAATGGCCACACATGGATTAGTGAAGGGGCCTGTTTCCCCCAGTAGATGGTAGATCACTGCATCAGTCATCAGGAATCTCTGTGCAAGTCTGTATTGCAGCTTAATCATGCCATGAATCCAGTGGTAAGACTTGGTAACTTTATAGGAGCAAGGGGACTTCAGCACCGTCAGTTTATTACGTTCCTGGAGGAAACCGATGCGGATCACCAGGACTTACTTTACCGCTAGTGTCCACAGGTTAAGTTTGGGCAAAGTGTTTCAACGAGTGTTAAAGCTCAAGAGGAAATTAGCACATTTTTTGAGTTAATGGGGAAATCCGACAAATTTCCTGAGCTGAATGACAAGAACTAGCTTTGTGACTTTGCGTTTGCTGTGGACATTTTTTCACACATGAATGAGCTGAATGTGAAGATACAGCGGAAATATCGGTTTGTGCACGACATGTACACAAATGTGAGAGCCTTCAAATCCAAGCTGACTTTATTCTCTAGACAAATTTCAAACAAATCTTTTGCTCATTTTCCCACACTAGCCATGCAGAAAGAGGCCACCTGAAACGCAAAGAAATACAGCAAATCACTGGACGACCTGTATGGAGAAATCTGCTGTCGGTTCTCTGGTTTTTAAAAAATTGACAAGTCGCTTCAGTTGGTGTCCTGTCCCCTGTCACAAGACCCTGAAACAGCACCACAGGAGCTGCAATTGGAACTAATTGATCTTCAGTCTGACTCCGTTTTAAAAGGGAAGTTCAACTCTCTTAAACTGAATGACTTTTCCAAACCTCTGGAGAACGGCACAGAAGATGCTGGCGTTGTTTGGCTCGACCTATGTGTGTGAGCAGACGTTCAGCGTCATGAACATCAACAAAGCCAGTCACAGATCCATGTTAACTGACCAACGCCTCAGATCTATCCTGAGAATAGCCACAACAAAACTAACTCCAGACTAATGCACTGGCTAAAAAGGGAGACCAACAACACTGTTCCCACTGAAACTGAAGGTTTAATTCTCTGCGTTATGAAAAAAATGCATTTGGAGAATAATACCTGTTAAAGGCCAAAACATTTTATGTAATGGCTTTTACACGTCATTTATATTAGCTCACACAAACACTCCATCCTTCTGCTCCCGGCCCGGCACCTCTGTCAGAACTCATTGTGGCCCACGAGTCAAACAGTTTGCTCACCCCTGAGCTAAACTAATCCAACAGAATATGATTGTGTCGCTATGCTAAAAAGGCTGCTAGACAACCTAATTAACAATTGGGTGGCCTTGTTATAATATAACAAAGTCTAGCATTTTAATTCTGTCCTTCCTTGTGGGAAACTCCCATTCTCTTCCCCTCATGTCACAGCTAAGAAAACATTCCAGTTTTCTTTTGGTGTAGCAAACTCAAATCAGACAGTGGCCACTGGTAATAAAAGCAGGGAGGAAGCATCTGTAAAGCTAAAAATATAAGAGGAAACAGAGAGAAGGACAGGTGTCATCACTTCTGGATGGAGGAAAAGGAACACCTGACCTCTGGGAGAGGAAGTAATAAAAAATAAATAATGGATGATAGTGATATGGGTCAGAGACAAAACTGAAGTACAAACAACAACTAGCATGTTTATAAATACACTAAAGGCAAGTGACTGAGGCTGGTAGTATCTGAGCCCTGTGTTTCTATTTCTGTCAGCACTCCTTTCTATTTACAAAATCCTAGCATTTCTCCAAATTACTGAACCCGATTATGGAACACTAACAGGTGAGTCACATGCCACATGCCAGTGGACAAACAAAGGCTCAGGTGAGTCAATGATATAACTCTTAGAGCTGTGGTTAGGACTGACACACCAAATCCCACTCCAGTGCTACAGGTTTAGCTACATGCAGTGACTTCAGAAAGTATTCAGTCCCCTTCCATTTGTTATACACTGGCATACTGGTTTGCAGATTTCATTTAAAATGGATAAAATTGCCCAATAACGCGTATGAACAACTTAAAAATCTTTGGAAATTCATTTACAAACAAAAACCAAATCAAAACCGAATATCCCTCATTTACAGAAGTATTCAGACTGTCCAAACTGTAGACAGGAGCATCCTGTTTGCTTTAATTCTCTTTGCAGTGTGTCTGGAACTTGACTGGAGCCCACCTGTGCCAAATTGAAGTGACAGGACATAGTTTAGAAAAACACACACAGTGTGTTTATTAGGTCCCACAATTCAAGAGCATGTCAGGACAAAAACCAAACCATGAAGTCCAAGGAACTCTCTGTAGACCTCTGGGATAAAACTGTGGTGAGGTACAGATAAGGACAATGGTATGAAACCATTTCTAAAGCTCTGAATGGTCCCAGGAGCACAGGGGCCTTTATAACTGTGAAATGGTGGAAGTCTGGAACCTGTAGGACTCTGGTTAGAGGTGGCAAGAAGGACCTTGGTCCGGCAGGAGACCAAGAGCTCAACAGTCCCCCTAACAGGGTTTCAGGACAGCCATCTCAGCAGCGCTCCATCAGTCACGACTTACTGTAGTGAGGCTGGACAGAAGCCACTTTGAATAAAAGGCAGATGACAGGAGTCTGAGGACATGAGGAAAAGCTTCTCTGAACTCTCTGTACTGAACTCCAAGCACTGCCTGGAGAACACCAGGCACTGCTCATCACCTGCTAATGCTATCCTTGCTGTGAAACATGGTGGGGAGTGCATCTCAGCAGCAGGCACAGGGAGACTGGTCAAAATTCAGGAAAAGAATGAATACAGCCAAATACAGAGATTTTCTTGAAGAAAACCTGCTCAGAGGGGGTTCACCTTTTCAGGACAACAATGACCGGAACAAACAGCCAACACTACAATGACTTCAGAACAAGTCTCTGACCGTCTTTGAGGGGCCCAGCCAAAGCCCAGACTTAACCCCCAGAGAACATCTGTAGAGGGACCTGCTGATGACAGTTCAGACACTTCCCATCCAATCTGATGGAGCATGAGAGGATCTGACAGGGAGAATGGAACAAAATGCCCAAATCCAGGCGTGCAAAGCTTGTAGACTTCCTCCAGAAGACCGGAAGCTGTAACTGCTAATAATGATAATGGGATGTCTACAAAAGTACTGAATTGATGGGCTGAATACTTTTTGGAATTAGAGATTTCCACTTTTGACATTTGCGAAAATGCCTTCATTTTGACATTATGGGTTATTGAGTGATAGGTATAAAAGGCAACTTTATCCTTTTAAAATTATCTAACACAATATGAAGGCCACTGAATACTTTCTGAAGTAAATATATGCAATAGAAAATTATATCCTGAATAGAAAATTATTCACTTTCTCCAGTAAAGTTCAGCAAATTCATGCACACTTATCTGACTGTGTTCCTTTACAGCATCTCACTCAACATGAGCAAAACTAATAAACTACATATAAATGCATATCCTCCTGCCAGAAAACACTCATTTAAGTGTTCTCTCATTTCTCAAACATGGCTAGAAGGTGAGAAGAGAGAGAGGGACTGACAGTGATGGAGTGAGTAAAAGTCAGAGCGTGAGAGAGTAAACACTGTAGGGACCCACATATCACCAGTCAGTGAACAGCAAACAGTGCATGGACTCACAGATCTGAACTGGTAACTCTCTCATTCCACTCGCCCAGTTTCTCAGAGGTTCTCACATAGCTAGAAACAGAGACATAAAGGTATTACACTGTAGAGGTTCAACAAGCACTCAGAGCAGGCTGGCTCAGAGAGGAAGCCAGGGTTACAAAGTCCCCAAAGAATCTCTGCACTGAAGTTATTATCCCCAATTACATTACGACGATAGTTGGAATAATGTAAATAATTAAGGGACTGTCAATGGAAAAACACTTTCCTCTTTCATTAGTGAAGATCAAAATGCTGACTGTGGATTCATGTATACATTCACCAAGGTTGCACCCTGAGGAAGTGGATGTTTTAAACCTGTGTTCCCTGAGCAAAGAGTTAGCATCTTATTCACCATAAAATTGGTACAAATCAATTTCTGTTTAAAATTTGGTGCTGCATAGATGAGCAGCGCTATTCACAAACTTCACCATAAAGGGTGATTTATCAAGGACGGAACACTGCTGCTCAAAATAGAAAAAAAATCTCAGATCTGCTCTGACATTCTGAAACAATCTTTGTGTCATCTAGTAACAAAAGCAGCCACAGTATAAAATCCACAAATGCATGACTGTCAAGTACAAAACTGTTCATGGTGATACAATGGTAACAGAAGCTTTTACATGACAATTAATGTTCTAATAATATTAAAGATATTTGAGCAATCTATTTCCAGTTGGACCAGTTGATATCTGTTAACTGTACTTTAAATATACACGCTTTGAGATTGCCAACTTCTAATGCCAACAACCTTTGTCAGGTAACTGCTGGATTTTCCTTTTTTTTTTTTAAATAAGGTCACATTTTATTTCCAGTGGTACAAAAAGGTGTGCGTCCAAAAGAGATAAAGAGAAAACATGTATCCATTGTGTAAAACTGAGGAATAATTTATATTAAAGAATTCTGAAACAATGGACTTGAGACCTAACAAAAGACAGGAATGCACTGTGTTTGATCAACGCATCCCTTTTCAAACAAGACACAGTCTATAAATTATTTTGGGCTGGAAATTCAGGCAGGGATTTTGGCATTTTACAGTAGTGAATTGCTAATTTAATCCGAGCCCCTTCAATACTTAGTGAACCTATTTATGCTGCATGAGAGTTGCTAAAAAGAACCAAAACAAAAAAATTTAAGGTTGAGAAAACAGACCGTGTTCAGTTCACAACTGAACTGAGATCGACAGAACTTAACTGTCATCCTGCAGTGTTGCAAAATGATGCTTCTTTTATCTCAAACACAATCTCTGGCCGAGTACAGAAAAGTGTTATGTTGCAGAGAGCGCACAAACCGGACAACAAATGAGGTCAGAGTTTATATTAAAAAGTACTAATACACCTATAAGTACTTATAAGGCATATTAAACTCTTTTGATCCCTGGATTGTTACATGCTTCATAAGGAGTTACAACAGAGCACAGTCATCATCTTTATCATATCACTGAGTTTCAGCAGTATAAAGATAATCACCTTTATTGGCCAAGTATGTTACACACAAGGAATTTGTTTCCAGTACAGAACCGAGGCAGCCATCTGCGGTGCCAACTCAACCGATGGCTCTAACCATCGGGGACAACTTAGGGGTTCAGTGTCTTGCCCAAGGACACTTCGACACGTGGACTGCAGGCACTGAGATTCAAACCTCCGACCCTCTGGTTGGGCTTGGACTGCTCTACCCACTGAAGCGCAGTCGCCCCCTATCATTCTACCAAGAACTTTGCTGTCTCATTATGATTAGTCACACCTCCTGCTGAGGTAATAACTGCAGCTGCTCAATTATCATAGCTTATCATTTTAGAGACTAAAATTAGGTGGAGAATGTGATAATGGTAAAGCAACAAATCACATTTCAGACCAGCTTGCTACGTTTGAGAAAGAATGAAGTGTTACTATAAGATGCAAAACTGCAGATAAATATTTGTTTCTGCTCTGTGACCATGTGGATTAACAGTCCTATTCACAGGATATTTAAAAACATGGATATTGTGCCTGCTAATTCAGCACCTTCACCTCTGCTGATGTTAAGACAACTCCGTTTCATCTGTTTAACAGGCGTGCCAGCATCCTGTATAATGTAGAGTGCTTAAGAAAATAACCTAGCGCACTTCAGGCTGAATGCCTCACTCCAACAACAGTCATTCTGTGACTGGCTCCTTCTGATAACACTGCTACTATCAGAGATCGTCAGCAGATCAGCTGATTCATCTGGACTGTGGTCGTCTGGGGTAAATGTCTAACTGACTTAAACTGAATGAATCCAAATGTCATTTCCTTGTTTATTCTTGCATCTTGCTAAAACAACTTTAAGATGTATTCATATGGGGCAATTCTCTTTACATACACCCATTGTTAAGGTCTTTCTATAAAACCAAACATGATACCAGGGATTTCTGTTGCTCCTAGGTTTACACTGCACTTCTGGTTAGATGCTAAACTGCATTTCGTTGCCTTGTACCTGTACATGGGTAATGACAATAAAGTTCAATCTAATCTTTACATATTGTACATTGTACAAATACAGCACGTCATCACTATGACTAAGAGGGGGAAAAAAACACAATGATTATAGTTGTGTATTTAACAACTACAGCTATGACATTTATACTAAACAAATTAATGCAGCACCCTCATTTGTTTTAATGGGGCCAAAGAGTGATCAGACAAACAATGAAAGGTTGTCCAGCAAAAAAAAGTTGAACTAATATTAAATCATCCTGCAACACGCTCTTTTGGTCAATCAGATACTTGTGCTATCTACTTTCTCAAAATGATTGTTGCCTTGGTAACTTTACAAAGCTGCAAAATGCTTTTTCAAAGTATTATAAACAGTACAACATTTTGACATCAGATGAGCCTTCATTGTCACTGCTCTATTATCTTCAATGGGATTTCTTACAAAGCATTCATCTTCTCACAGGTACCTAAACACTCAACTAGCAAAGAATGAAAGTTTGTTCAATATACTAGTAAATATAAATTGACTTGTTTCACTGGATAAAAATCTAAGAAATACATACGTGTTGGAGGTCTGTACATTCTGCCAGCTCTTAGTGAAGTTCTGTTTGAGATCGTCGAGGGGGCTATGGCCAAGTTTCCTCTTCAGCTCTGCGCAATGCCTCTCTTTGGCTGACAAAACCTGACGCAGAGTGCTGACCTCCTCCTCCACCTGACACACAACAGAGCCACAGAGAGACATCAGTATGGGGCTTCCTCTTCACTCATTCTACTATGTCAGACTTCGCATATTTTGTTTCTATATCCTCAAAAGAAGAACAATATTTACATTCCTCTGCAAAACACAATGTGCATCTACTCTAGAATCAAAATTTACATCATCCCCTTGACTCTGAGCCATGTTTGCAGATGTCTTCACTCTTACTATTCTTGATTATTCATCTATGATCAGTTCCATGGCTCTCACTCACAGAATCACATACACTGCTGACATCTGTTGACTGGCTGTACAACTAGAGAGAGGACACGAAATCTTACTCAATGTATATTTAGGATTAAACAAATTGAATGTGCTCACCCTTTGTTATTAATTACAGCTGCACTTTTCCCATTATTAGTCAGAAGACTTCCATTCACAACAGCCTATCATAGAATTAGTCGATAAATTGCAGAAAATCTGACTTATATCAACCACAAGAATTCAAACCAAATGTATTGTTAAATAAAGGGTATAATAAAGGCTGTGATAAAATCGTACATGAAACAGAGGAAGGTATGGATCTTCCAACAATTATTAAATAATTTTAAGTCCGTCTTTGAAAGTCAGGCAGTAACACATAATAGAATAAGAGTACACACTCTTAGCATCTACTCCTCATGAAATACACAAAGTGAACTCTACTAGCTTCTTGCACTGTTAGCACAACATAATAGCATAAAAAAGGTAACAACATAGTGCAAACAAAGTAGAGATCACATGCATGTGCAGTTGATTCTCTTACTACAGAGACTGTAAATGGTAATGGCTATCCTCAGCCTCTGGAGCTCTTTTTAAATAAGACATACCCTTCATATTTCATGATGAATTAATATGTGACCTAGTGCAGCGGTGTGGCTCACTGGTGTGTTTTTAATAGTTTTTGGAGAACAAACCAAGGTTCACAGACACTGCAGTGAGTACACCAAATTCACTGTTTTTAGTCACCGTTGATGATTTGTAGAAAATAAAAACAGAAAATATCACTGATGTTATCCTTTAAGTTTATTCTACCCAACATGTCTTCCTCAGGCCTGAGAGAACCAGTGTTAATGAAGGTTGCTTTTCCATCACCTGGTACTGGCTCAACTTGACTTGACTCAACTCTACTTGCTTTTGGTACCAGGTGCTTGGTTTTCCACTGTAGATGGTCCCCTCTCAGTGGATCTGGTTGTCATAGCGACACCACATTACACTGCTGTGACACCATCAGCAACCGACAGGATAACAATGGAGGACATCGAAAGTATGCTGTTCTGGATTCTTGGTATGTGGATGGTTTTAGTTAGTACAGTAGTGGTTAGCCTTAAATAATGTTGCTTTTAAAAATTATGCTTTGTTCCAGGGCGTCTTGCATGTTGAAGATGTGATTTCTATGACCAACTGCTAGTCTGCAGTGTTTGCACATCACCGTTTGGTATTGCCTCAGCTTGCTTGGAACCTCGACGGAGGTGATACCAAAATAGTACCAGGTATTATCCCCAACATTTGACCGATGGAAAAACAAATAAGATGAGTTGACTCAAGCTGCTACCAGGGGGTGGAAAAATGGGGCTTTAGCTTTGAGTTACACGTAACACGCACTGATAGTGAAACATCTAGGCCTTACCTTTATGAGCTCATTGCGGAGCTCCTCAGCCTCTTCCTCCGTCAGGCCTGGTGGAAGAGGGTCAGCAGAGTTCCCCACTGCTCCCTCCACTGGCACGTCAGATAGGTTGCCTGAACGATCCACACCAAGACCCTTGTTAGGAGAGTTCAGGTTGATATCTGGAATGATGACAAACAGACAGACAAAAAGGAGAGGTGAGGGAGGGGGGAAGAAAACAAGGCGACTCATTTATTTATTTATATAGCGCTTTACAACGCCCAAGAGTGCTCAAAGTGCTTCACATTAAAACATAAAAATAAAGCAGAACATTTTAAGATACATAAACTAACCAAAAGGAAAACAAGTTAAAATTACACAAATTTAAAACCAAGGTCTGTAAGGAACTAGAAAACTCCTATATAATAAAAATGTGTCAAAGTACAAACAGAATAAGATTACAGAATATAAAATCAGAAAGCCTGTAGGCACCTGTATAGCACCACTGCTATAAATTAAGTGCCAAAAGCCAGTCTGAATAAGTGTGCTTTTAATTTAGACTTGAAGGCCACTAACTCAACTCATTTATAGCCCAAAGTTCAGGCGGTAGGGTATTCCAGAGCTCGGGGGCATATAGGGCATAAGAACGATCACCCCACTTTTTGTACCTTGCCCGTGGGACAACCATAGACAAACGCTCATAGGAACACAGCACTCTGACCGGGGTATTAGTGGTTAAAAGATCAGTCAAATAGGCTGCAGCAAGACCATTAACAGCCTTGAACATGAACAATAGAACCTTAAAATCAATTCTAAACTGTACCGGAAGCCATTGAAAAGACTGAAGGACAGGGGTAATATGAGCATGCTTTGGAGTATTTGACAGTAGGTGAGCAGCCGCGTTCTGTACTAATTGGAGCCTACGGAGGAGAGACTGGTTAATTCCAATATAGAGGGCGTTGCAGTAGTCAAGTAGTAAGCTAATGAAAGCATGGATGGATTTTTCTAGGTCAACTCAACATAAAAAGGGCTTTACCTTTGCTAAGAGCCTCAGTTGAAAGAAGCTTATTTTGACAACAAGGCTAATCTGCTTGTCAAATTTGAAGCTGCTATCAAATAACACTCCTAGGTTTTTCACAGTTTGAGTGAATAAAAGGGCTGAAGCTCCTAGGCCGGGTACGATGTGAGTAAAGTCAGGGCTAAAAACGATGTATTCAGTCTTCCCCTCATTCAAATTAAGAACATTCTGTGAGAGCCACCGTTTAATATCACACAGACACCTGTGCAAGGGGGCTAGTGCACTGACTCATGTAAGAAGAAATGCTAATGGGGAGAATGAAGGGGAGAGATTAGTAGAGTAGATGGGTAAACAAATACCCACTTAGACCAGTTCAAGTGTTAAAAGCGAAGATTGGTCTACTCAAATGATCCCTCTCAGTGTCTATTACACTCACACACACACACACACACACACACACACACACACACACACACACACACACACACACACAGAGCACAGGGAAGAGGCTAGTGTTGCCAGCAGGAGATAAAGCCGACAGGAAGAGAAAGTGGCAATTAGTGGAGCCAAGAGTTGATCTGTACTCTGGAAGAGTAACTTGATCCCTCTGTCCAAGAACCATGACACCTTTTAACTTCTAAAGACAAGAATTCTAGAGTAACCAGCACCAAAAATAATGACTACAAAAGAGCAGGATGAAAATACTAAAAGAACAAACTACATCCAGTCAGTCTAAACTTGAATTTATCCAGAGATAGTTAACAGCCTGATCTGCCACTGTCAGCATTTCTATGACAATAAGTGCACCCTGCATTGCCTGAGGACACCAGCATAATTTTAGCAGCTACAGGAGCTTGGTAAGAAGGACAGCAAGACAAGCAGGAGCCACTGCCTGAAACAGTGCAAGTCAAACATTCAAACACTATTCAGTGGGTGAACCCATTATGAAAGCTAAACTCTCACCTTACATTGCTTACACACACACCCACTTCCAGTGAACAGGCAATGTTGTTTAGAATTATTTTACTTCAAGCATGTTATCTAAGAATCAGAACATTGTTATGCATGAAAGATCTGAATGCAACAGTGAGCTCCCTGTAATTCCTTGATTGTGCAGTATCCATGTCTACACAACTAACATTATGAGAAACACACAATTGTTTGGATCATTCCAAGATGATCATTATGTTGTGTGTTTGAGTCTCAGCAAGACTCCATACAAGATGGCCAGATATGACAGCTCCACCCTCCAGGAATATTCATGATATTGACAGTGAGGTTAAAAAGACATCAGGCTCATATGAAAAGGGGATGACTATAAAAACATGCTCTTCCTACGATTAAGACTTACTAGACCTCTGTCATATTTTGTAGGGATGCCACTTTTTTCAGATCAAGTACATTATGAGTGCTTGCATTTGAGCATTTGCCGATACGTACTTAATGATGCCATCTTTCTACTGTAAAACTACAATTACCATAACAGTGCAATGGCTTTAGGGAGAGTTTTTATATTCATAAGATTTATTTTCTGATATTGATTAAAAAGAATATCCTACACAACAGGAGACTGTGCAACTTAACCGAAAACTTTGTGATAACCAACACAGCACTGCCACCATCTCTATTCAATAACATGCGACTGAGTGAACATCTGCAGCCTGCTACACAGTATACTGTAATACAGTGGATTTGAACCTTTTTAGGAGTGTGACCCTGTGTCAGGATGTAATGATTTCACAACCCCCTGATCAGAACATCACAGTTTAGAAGGGCATATTATCACATTCAGCAATTTAAAGGTTTAATTTAATGAGGCTGCATGCTTTTATGTTAAAGTGGCTGCTGTCTGGGGCTCCATCCTGTCCTTTCTGCTGGACATATACCTGCTCTGCTGTAGAGATGCTGCTGGTCTCAGCCTCCAAGTCCACAAGGATTCAACCCATTTCATACAGAGTGCATTTGACATCACTGTAAACTACATAAAGTTAGCATTTATTTTTTTCCCCCCGTTCACAACAATAAGTATAACAAGCAACGTGGCGGTTTTAGCGGAATGAATGGGACCAGGGATTCTGAC